TAGCACCTCTGGTCAGAGCCCAGCAGCGAGAGCTGGTCATGGAATCGTGTCACAGAATGGTTTGGGTTGGAAGGGACCTTAAAGCTCACCTCGTTCCCCTCTCTGCCCTGGACAGGGACACCTCCCACCAGCCCAGGTTGCTCCAAGCCCCGTCCAACCTGGTCTTGAACACCTCCAGGGATGGGGCAGCCACAGCTTCTCGGGGCAACCTGTGCCAGGGGTTCACCACACTCACAGTCAACAATTTCTTCCCAATGTCTAATCTAAACCTACCTGATGTGTCAGGCAGATTTATCAGGTAATCAGATAGGTGGAAGTGATGAAAGAAAAGAGCGTTTCAACACTGGCAGTATTTTTCAGCAGTGGAAACAGATGCACGGACGACAGACTTACCTTTAGCTGTACGCTATCATGTACAAACGTTGTGCATGTTCCTTTTTCTTTAAGTTGCCATTGCTGCAAACGGATTACAGCTGGCCAGCCCGGGTGCAGATGGTGTGCAGGGTCTGCAGACACTAACGATGACAAATGCGGGTGGCACTCAGCCTGGGACAACAATCCTGCAGTACGCACAAACATCAGATGGGCAACAGATCCTCGTACCCAGTAACCAGGTGGTGGTGCAGAGTGAGTACCTTCTGTAAATGGTTAGAAATACCCGTGGCTAGCGCAAGTGAACTTTCTAATGCTGCCATGTTTTGTTGTGTTATGCTGTTACCTCACCAGCTGCCTCAGGAGACATGCAGACTTACCAGATCCGCACCACGCCAACCACGACATCCCTTCCCCAGACCGTGGTGATGACATCTCCCGTCACTCTGACATCGCAGACAAGTAAGACAGATGATCCACAGTTGAAACGAGAAATAAGGCTGATGAAGAACAGGTATGTAAGTGCACATGGGCTGCTTTGATTTGTTAATGTGCTGAAGTAGGACAAATGACAAGTCTTCAAAGGACTAATGACGAGTCCTGCGAGCCAGCTGTACCGATTGTGCCTTCAGTGCGGTGTGCTGCATCCAGCGACTGGAAACACCAGAAATTCTGACCAAACCGCGCTACACGTTCTGTCTCACGCAGTTTGGAGAAAACAAATTGTTTTTTCCCTGCAGATTGACCAGATGCTGTTAAATTTCATGCTCTCCACCTATCCTTGTGTGCTTTTCGGTTTGTTTGGTCCCCGATTGCAGTGCCAGCTCTCACCTCACGTTGGTCAGCATCATAACATTCCAAAAACAGGCAAATCTCAAATAAACAATCGCTTCTGCTTGTCTCTTCCAGGGAAGCTGCCCGAGAATGCCGTAGAAAGAAGAAAGAGTATGTTAAATGTCTGGAAAATCGAGTTGCAGTCCTGGAAAATCAGAACAAAACTCTAATTGAAGAGCTAAAAACTTTGAAAGATCTTTACTGTCATAAAAGTGTGTAAGAAAAGAAGGTAAAACTTTTGTGGACTGTTAAATTTCAGAGGAGAATTTTTTTTTTTATACTGAATTTTTTAAACTAGCTGAAAGGTCAAAAATGAAACTTTTCTACCTAGATTTCACAACTTAAAGACTATATAGATTTTATTTACAACATGTTGGTGACAAAGTACAAAAAGGAAACAAGAAAACCTCACCAAAATTCCTG